TCTATTTTGATGCCAGTACCATGCTGATTTTATCACAGTAGCCTTGTAGTATAATTTCAAGTCAGGAATTGTAATGCCTCCTGCCTTGTGTTTGTTGCTCAGGATTGCCTTTTGCTAGTCTAGGTCTTTTATGGTTCCAAATAAATTTTAGGAATGATTTCTCTAGCTCTGTGAGGTATGTTGGTGCTAGTTTGATAGGGGTTGCATTAAATCTGTACAGCAATTTTGGGAGTATGGCCTTCTTCACAATGTTGGTTCTTCCTATCCCGGATCATGGAATATTTTCCATTTTCTGAAATCCTCTACAATCTCTTTTTTAAGAGTACTATAATTTTCCTTGAATAGATCTTTGACTTCTTTAGTTACACTAATTCAAAGGTATTTCATTTTCTATGGTGCTACTGGGAAAGGTACTGTTTCTCTAATTTCCGTCTCAGTGTGTTATCTGTGTAGAGAAATATTATTGACTTTTGGGTACTGACTTTGTATTCTGCTGTGCTACTGAATTTGTGTATTAATTCTAGTAGTTTCTTGGTGGAGATTTTTGGGTCTTCCATGTAAATTATCATGTCATCTACCATGAAACTAGTGGTAGTTTAACTTCTTCTTTACCTATTCTCATTTCTTTTATTTCTCTCTCTTGTCTAATAGCTCTAGCTAATGATTCCAGAACTATATTGAATAGGAGTGGTGATAGAGGACATCCTTGTCTTGTACCAGATCTGAGAGTAAAAGATTTCAGTTTTCCCCATTTAGGATTATGTTAGCCATTGAATTGTCATAGATGGCTGTAATCAGATTGAAGCAGAGGCCATCTATTCCAATTTTCTGTAGGACTTTGAACATGAATGAGTGTTGGACTTTGTCAAAAGCCTTTTCTGCATCAATTGAGATGATTATGTGGTTTTTAGTTTTTGCTCTATTGATATAGTGTACTACATTTATAGATTTTTGAATACTGAATCATCTTTGCATTGCTGGGATGAATCCTATCTGGTCATGGTATATGATCTTCTTGATGACATGCTGCATTCTGTTTGGTAGGATTCTATTGAGGATTTTTGCATCTATGTTCATGAGGGAGATTGACCTGAAGTTGTCTTTTTTAGTTGTGTCTTTCCCTGGTTTTGGTATTAGTATAATATTTGTCTCCAGCAATGATTTTGGGAGGATTGCTTCCTTTTCAATTTCATGGAAGAGTTTGAGGAGTATAGAGATTATATCTTCTGTAAATTTCTTGTAGAATTCAGCTGTGAATCCATCAGGACCTGGACTTTTCTTTGTTGGTAGGTTTTTTATTACATTTCGCATTTCATTGGCTGTTATGGGGTTGTTGAGAGTTGCTATATCATCTTGATTCAGTTGTGGTAATTTGTACCTTTCTAGAAATCTGTCCATTTCTTCTGTGTCTTCTATTCTGTAAGAGTAAAGATTCTCAAAGTAGTTCTTGATAATCTTCTGAATTTCTACTGGGTCTGTGGTAATTACACCCTTTTCATTACTTATTGCTTGTATTTAAGTTTTTTCTTTCCTCTTTTTGATGAGGTTATTTAGGGGCTTATCAATTTTATTAATCTTTCAAAGAACCAGGTTTTGATTCATTAATTCTTTGAAATGTTTTCTTCTTCTCAATTAAATTAATTTTTGCAGTAATCTTTATTTCTTCTCAGCTTTGGGCTTTGGGTTTGGTTTTCTCTTCCTTTTCTAGATGTTGGAGGTGAAGTATTAGGGTCTTTATTTGTTCCCATTCTGTTTTCCTAATGTGTGAGTTCACAGCTATAAATTTCCCTCTGAGAACTGCTTTCATGGCAGCCCACAAATTCCAGTAAGTTGTGCTTGAATTTTCATTGAATTGTAGTTATTGTTGAATTTCTTGTTTAATTTCATCTGTGACCCATTGGTTGCTGAGTACGGTGTTGTTTAATTTCCGTGTATTTATGGGTTTTTGCTGGTTTTTGTTGTCATTCATTTACATTTTCATTGTACTGTGGTCAGATAATATGCATGGGATAATTTCTGTTTTCTTGCATATACTTAAGCGTGACCTATGGACTAGTATGTGGTCTATTTTATAAAATGACCCATGTGTATCTGAAAAAAATATGTATTCAGATGTGGTTGGGTACAGTACTCTGTATATGTCCACTAAGTCCATTTGTTAAAAACATGAAACCTTTCATGAATTTGCTTGTCATCCTTGTGGAGTGACCATGCTAATCTTTTCTGTATCATTCCAATTTTAATATATGTTCTGCTGAAGCGAGTACTGCATACAGGATATTAAACAGTGTCAGCCTCTCACTGTCACCATGAGACTCTTGTTTTTGTTTTGTTTTGTTTTGTTACTGAGATTTGAACTCAGGACTTTGTGCTTGCCAGGCAAGTGCTTATTCTACTGAGCTATCCCCCAGCCCCAGATCACAAGACTCTTGCAAAAGTGGCCATCAACCAGCCCAGAACCTTGCACAGATCACCCCCAGAGTGATACAGGATCACACACAATGCTGACTCTATTCTGAATTGTTGGTAACAAACCTATTGTGACACGTACAGACACCTGTCTCCTCACCTTGAGGTGTTCTTTGCTATAATGTGAGTCTACTCTCTCAAATATTTGTCTCTCCAAATTCATATTAAATTTCATCTTAATGCAACAGTGTTAAGAGACAGGGCCTTTATGAGGCAAATGGTCCTAAAAGCAACCACAGAATCCCTTCTGCAATTCTACTCCACTACTCTGTCATTAATGAATAGGAAAGAGAAAGCTTTCATAATGGCAAGCAATCCTATATTTTAAAGTCAGAGAAGTTAGGTGATTACTTGTGGAAAGACGCAAGGAATGCTGGGACATCCGGAACAAACAGAGGCTGCTAGTTTGCATGGAAAAGAAACAAGCTCTGGGATTACTGAGTTTATGAAGAGGCTCAGGGGACATGGCTGGGCTACTTTTTTGCTCTTTGATTCCTTCCATCACAGAGGACGTAATGTTCCAAGTGTTAACTTGGAAGCAGGGATTCAGCCTTCACCATACCAGTGATTTCCCACTCTCCAGAACTGTGAGAAATAAATTTCTGTTCTTCATAAGTTACCTAGTTTCATATATTTTGTTATGACAGCACATAAAGACTAGACTTCCTTTCTGAAATTGTGTCACCTTTGGCCAATGGCCATCCCCATCCTTGACTCCATACAGAATTCATTTATCTCCAGCTGTGTTCATCAAAATGTCCTGTCATGCTCTTCCTCGCCATGCGCCAGCCTGCTGTGCATCCTGCAGGCCCTAACTTTCCTTCGTTTTTTCCACAAGTCGTCAATGAGAACTTCTCAGGCCCATCAAAATGTGAGCTTGTTCCACACTGAGAGAGCCGTATCTTTACTTTCTGTTAAAAACAGAGCAAGGAACTGCTATTATCAAAAGAGTTTTGTTTTAGACATTTGTCAAGACTTCCTCACCTTAGAATATGTGAACTGTTATGTATCACCAAAGAGGTTTTATTGTACTCTTTGACTTAATATATTAAGTGTTACTTTAAAAATGTGTACTATTGCCAGGTGTGGTGGCCCATGTCTATAATTCCAGCACTCAGGAGCCTGAGGCAGGAGGATTGCTGCAGGTTTAAGACCAGCCTGGGCTAAAAACTCAGCTCAAGGCCAGCCTAAACAGCATGGCGAGATCCTGTCTCAAAAAAAAAAAAAAAAAAAAATGTGTACTACTACATGTTCTGGGACATTGCCTACTGAAAGTTTAAGGTAAAGGATGAAATAAGAAAAAGCAACTCTTTTGCTCTTTTAATGTTTTATTCTAACATCTGCATGCTATCAGAACACAACAGAGACAGCACAGGAGAGTTTGGATGTGTATAAAGTAGAGGGCGCTATTAGCCAGTAGGATGTCATTTAAGAGAACAACTTCTTGCACCTCTTCTTGTCTTCTTTTGCCCCAGTGGCAAGATCATTCTACATCATTTTGAAAGGTGTGGGCTCAGATAACAGAAGCTTTGGAAAGTCCTACTTTGGACTTTTGCCATCTGATGTCAGGTCACCTTATTCATCCAGACAAGTCCTAGAGATTTTATATGTTTCGGTTAATAAGGTCCCCTAGTTACTGTGGGCTGATCAGGTCTGCAATCTCCCAACCAAGTGTACAGCAAAGGCTGAATAAAAGAGGCAAATGGAATGATTTCAGGGCTCCAGGATAATCAATATTTATCCCACAGAATTTGAGATTTTTTTTTTTCTAGGGGAAGACCAAGACCTTCTCTTGGAGGCCGGTATTTATTTAGTTATCAGAAGAAGGAAGAGAAGTACTCAAGAAGGGCAAACCACTCAAGGACTTGTCCAAGTAAGGCATTAAGTTAATCCACCCAGGAGTGAGATGCCTGAGGCTGCAGTCTTCACCTAGTCGAGGTTGGATCCAGGTGTCCTTGGCTGTGATCTTCTGCGGCTTCACCCACTATTACAGGTCACAGTAGGGTCAGCGATTCGCACAGGTTCACATATTATGAATCTGCCGCCTTTTCCCAGGCAAGCAGTCAAGGCTTTGGACAGACTCACAAATAAACATAGAAAGCCCATTGGTTAATTCAAGTTCTGCTCAGCACTGCTTTATATGGTCTCTGTCATTGATGGGCTCTGCATGTAGAAAACTTCAGGACTTTGTAATACAGTTCTTTATAGACCGACCCCCTCAGGTCCACTCCAGGAAGGATGATGAAATTGCATATTCTGTAGGTACCCCGCAGTCACTCAAGGTTTGCTCTTAGAAGAATATGGACTCCAAGGCCACGTGTAGGCTTTTACCTACTGCTTACAACATTGCTTGGACTTGTCATCTTACTGGAGTCTAGGCCTCTATTAAAAGTTAATGAGACTTTCATCACCATTAAGCTCAAATCTACAGAGCAATGGAAAGAAAAAGGGAAGAATATGTACCTTGGGGAAAAGAAAAACCCTGTTGAAAGTCTGGTTCTATCTTCTCTCAGGTATTTGATGATCCTGAGCAGGTTATTCCAAGCAAGGAACCTATCTTTTTTTTTTTTAAAAGCTTTTATTTATTTGGTACGGAGTCTTACTACCCAGCTTAGACTTATAGTGACCCTATCTCAGCCTCTCCAGTGCTGCAATTACAGACATGCACCACCATGTCCAGTTTTGGTGGCCGGCACAGTGTGCCCAGAGTTCTGGGGCTGGCATATCATGTGGTACCGAAGATTGAACTTGGGTCCTTGCACTTGCCAGGCAGGCACTTAGACTGTCAAGCTATCTCCCTAGCCTCAAGGAGCCTATCTTTCTTGAGGCATATATGCAATCATTCCAGTAATGTACCTAGTCCACAATAGGTATGTTCATCTGCCTTATTTTATTTATTTATTTTTTTTTGGTGGAACCAGTGATTGAACTCAGGCCCTTGCTCTTGCCAGGGAAAAGCTTATCCTACTGAGCCATCTTCCTGGCCCAATCTACCTTATTTTAAAACCAGTGTACAAAATAAGCCTTACATGGTCTTACTTTACATACAAATTAGCTTCCAGGGAACATATTTTTCTAAGCTGATTTCTATTTTTTCCCTTTACCATCTAACTCTATCTTTGCTCACCTTTTGCTCTTTATTAGCAACTAGACATAGTTTTTGCTAACATTTTCTCTAGCATATACTTGCTCTCTCTCCTTTCCTTTTAATTGATTAATTTATTTTTTGTAGCTGGCTCAGCCCGTGCTGAAGGTGGTCCTGGGCAGCATGTGGGCTAGGACTGTGGTCCCTGTGCTTTTCTAAGCTTGTCTAAGCAGGCACTTTAGTCTGCTGAGCTACCTCACCAGCCCCATGCTTCCACTCTTAAATGCAATTACGAATTAAGGACTCCCTAGGGTGACCTCTCTTTCCCTATATCATGTTTGCAAGATTGATCCCAAACAATTCTAAGCTAGATAAACCTTCCGTTTAGACACACCCACACTAAAAGCTAGAAGAATCTTGCTTATATATAGATTTCACTAGGGGAGAGCCAGAGACAGTGGAAGACGTTGAACTAGGAGTGAGGAACCTTGGGAGTTGGAGTCCTAAACCTATCCATTTATTAGTTGTGTGACTCTGTGTCTATTCATCTCATTTTACTCACTAGTAAATTTGCAGCTAATAAGCTACTCTGAATGTCCCTCATGGAGCCTTTCCCATGGGGTTATTATAGGATCCAATATAATAGAGGTGCCCCAAATGTAATAGCACCCTGCATCATGTGATGATTTTGAGTGGTATGTGGCCGATGATGTTAATCTACCTTTTAAATTATATTTAAGACTTTTCATTTATTGCTATGTGTATTAAAGATTATATTATAACTAGCATACCAAACTGATGATCTCATAGATACAATTGCTCAAAAAGAGGATTAAGTATAAATCAAGAAATATTAACAGTTGTGTGTGTGTGTGCCTGCAGTGTGTAATTACGATAGAAAAGGAAAGCAATCTCCTCAAAGTTTAGTGACTCTGCGATGACAAAAATAAACAAGGCGGCTGCTTGCAGGCTATGGGGAAACGTAACAAAAACATCTGTGTTAGCTGCCTTTCTTATTGCTGAGACAAAATATCCAACACCCACAAGTTGAGCGAGAAAAGGTTTATTTAGCTCATAATTTGTAGAGGTTCCAAGCCACAGCTGGCTAGCTCCAAGGTAGGGTGGCTGTGGGGAGGCAAACAGCGCACGGTGGGCAGAAGACAATGAAATAGAGGAGGAACATTTTCACAGCAGCCAGAAGATGACCAAGCAACAAGCAAGCTTCGCAACACATTTTTGCCCCTCTTATCCAGACTACCAGGATGCGGCATGCCAAACCAATCAGTGGACTGGTGTAGTGACTACACACTGTAAGTCCCAGCATCACACTCGCTAGACTCAGCCACCTCTGAAAAGGCTGTAGGATCACATGTGGCATTGGGGGAATGTCTAGACACAAACCCTAGCAGCATCATGGTTACCCCTCGTGGAGCCCTGAGTTTCCTTATCGAGAGAATTCAAAAAATGGTCATGGATATTTTCCAGTTTTCTGGGTTCCGAGGATGCAAAATGAAGTGGATGAAGTCCCTGTTCCATAGAGTTGACACTCAGGTAAGGAAACACATATAAATCCACAAAATACTTCTGCCATCAGACCCAACAGTATACAAAGAAAGTTTTTGAAAATTGCCAACACTGTATCAGTGTCTGGTACTGTTGTAGTGAGATGCAAGAGACAGGAATGAGGAACTGATTTCAGACTATCTAAAAAAT